CTCGCATTTTGTGACTCGCAACTCGCATTTTGTAACTCGCAACTCGCATTTTGTGACTCGCAACTCGCATTTTGTAACTCGCAACTCGCATTTTGTGACTCGCAACTCGCATTTTGTAACTCGCAACTTGCATTTTGTGACTCGCAACTCGCAGAAAAGAAACCCTCTTCTATAACAGTTTGTCAGCGTAAAGAAATCATTATTTTTTTGTGACAATCCGGAGTAGGGTGTGGATTTGAGGACTATTCAAAGAAAAGGTCCCAGACTAGATATTCAAAAAACGGATCAACCGATCTGAATGGAAAGCTTACCCAATTTACAAAGAAGAAACCATTAGGTGTTGGGGGCGATCCAGTTGAGGGTGTAAATGTGAGGGTCATCTAAATTTCGTCCCAAAACTAAATAGCTCTGAACAGTTTTTCAATGGGTTTAAATGAAACTTTCTATAATAGTTTGTCAAGGTCTAGTAAAAAAATGATAAAATTGTTCTGACAATCCGGAGTAGGGTGTGGATATAAAGATCATTTTATAAGAAAACGTCCCAGAACACATTTCCAAAAACGGATCAGTTAATCTGCATACAACTTTCGGGAAACATTAACGAAATTAAGAAAGAAATTATTGTGTTGGGGATGATCCAACTGAGGGTGTAAATATGAGGGTCATTTAAATTTCTGACGTCCAAGACCTAAATATCTCTAAACAGTTTTCAATGGGTGTAAATGGAACGCTCTTTAATAGTTTGTCAAGGTCTAGTGAAGAAATGATTAAATTTTTGTGACTTTAATTTTTGGGGACAAACCAGGTTAGGGTGTAAATTTTTGGGTCATTTAAATTGTTTACGTCCCAGTTATAATGAATGAAAATGAAACTTTGAAATAGTTTTTAATGGTGAAATGAAGAAATGATCAAATTTTGGTGACGATCGATCCGCAGTAGGGTGTAACTATGAGGACCATTTAAAGATTGTTTTGGACAGTTTATTAAACCATATAAACGCAATTTTGCTGCAGGTGTTAAACTCAAAACTACCGTGATATGCATGAACAATCAATTTTTGCTTTCAGTCACTGAATCGCTATGAGCACACAATGGCTACGAGTCTCTCAATATACAGCATAAGTTCGAATCTCACTAACGTCGGGGTAGTTGGGAACTTATATTGGAAAATCCCAGGTTACGCCCGGAATTTTGCTTGCAATGTAAAAGGGGTATTAGTTTTCATAGTTTCATTTTACTTTATAATTTGTGTAGTACTATAAGTATTTTTTTCCTTAACTTTTATACTTTTTAAGGACTTATTTTTTGTTGCAATTTCAACTTAATTTTTCATTATAGCAATGAGAAAAGCCATATGTTCTGCAGACATAGTAAATAAGTCTAGTTCTTGTTGTTGCTGTTGTTGCTATAATTATATGATTATTATAAATACATAGGCCTATGCCTGTATGATATTTACTAAAGTAAATACACAGGGTATAATATATGCTATGCATTATCTTTTGAAATACGGTGGAAATTGAAATAAAAGACAGTCTGGTATGAATGAATTTAACATATTAGGCATGAGACATTAATAACGTGATTCGGTGATGTGGGTACTGCATGTGTGTCTAGATTAAGTCACCCCACACTTTTAGAGTTTCTGATTGGATCATAGAGAAATTCTTTCTCCATGATTTAATAACTTGTTTACCAGAAAGTTGCTATAATTAAGATGGTTACAAACTTCAAAACCTGGGCTTAAAACTGTCAATTATGGAGGGAATGTTAATGTCCAATTGTCCAGGGGTGAAGGCTTGTCACTTTAGAATGACCAATAATCTATCAATAGTTAGTAAACCCATTTAGGTGTAAAGCTATGTTGAAACCAAGTTTGAGATATTCAACAGGTTCAACAAGTTAATATTATTGAACCTTAATACAATATTACAGAATGGTTTGAAGTTTTTTAATAACAGTAAGTCTCGTGTGGTGTTTGCTTTTGGTCTTATTGATTGCTTAAAGCAGTTATAATTATTTAGTCAATTCTTGGTATATATCCATGGACTGGTCTACATACCAGGTGTTAAATGTAGGCCTATAGCTAATAGAACATTGATATTTACAACTACAGGCATAGGACTATGTTTGATTATTTGTAAACATGTTAAATTATACTGTATAGTAGTTATATTTATTATGAAATAAGATTTTCTATAGAGTAATGTCTATTTACGATATAGTCCTGTGTAGTTTGATTTAAATTATTGTATTTCTTTATGGGGCAGGGGTGGCGCCAGTTGTGGAGAACAACACAATTCGTCGGGAGAAGAAAAATTTATATAGACTCTAAAAGCGATTAAATAACCCCTAATTGTCCTATGGATCACTTTCAAGAAATTTCAAGAGACGCCTGACCAAGCGCACTTACGTTTTCGTCAGGGAGTGCCAACCCCCCTCCCCCTTCCCGGTCGGAGATAAACTTAAATCCTGGCGCCACCTCGTTCACTAAACAGCCTAAATTAGTAATAAGTAAATAACTGTTGAAGAGCACCTCGACCACCTCGACGTTTCGAATAGACTACTCTCAGCCGAATAGAGAAATCTACTCAAAACGTCGAGATTCTCTCAAATCAGAAGCATTTACGTGTTACCGTAAATTTATAATAGTTTTGGATATTAATAAATTGTGCTGATTTGGTAAAACCAGGGAGTTGTTATAGTGTCACTATAACAACTCCCTGGTAAAACGTGTCTCCACGTGTTCCGGAGTCAGAATATTAGATCAATTATTGACAGTGATTTTTTATTTTTCTTGTCACATAGGCCTAACCAGACCTTTAAGTGTCTTTATTTATAACAGGCACAAAATCCAGAGAGTCCAGTTAAAATTGGTTATTAGTTTTAGTTGAATGAGAGTGTAAATAAATAAATAAATAAAAATATTCATTTAGAACCCATTCAAAACTCTCTAAGGAGTTTTAGACTGGGTAGACATGGTTTTGCTTTTAATTGTCTTCAACTAGTATTCTACGCCAGCTTGGCCAACTGTCTCCACTAGTTGCTCTGAGCATGGACGATGATGTATTATAGTTTGGTGAAAATTTAAAAAAATGCAGATTAATTTAGTTAGTCGAGGCTTGAGGTGAGACTTTCTAAGAATTATCAAGATCTATAAGTCATTTTTAAACTTATCAGATGAATTAATACTGAATTAAACCATTTAATAGATTATAGTTCCTTTTTTTATTTATATACCTTCTGTTATACAATATTGAAAACCCCAAAATTTAGTTAAAACATTTAGGCCTAACAGGCTACCATCATACAACGCAATACGTGCCCGCCTTGCTTCAAGTAAATTGGGTGCATTCTATCGCTACATATTCCTTAGTAAATTTTGTTGCAGCCTCATCAAAATCATATTTGGACATATCCTAACACAAATACCTAATAAAACCAAATACTGCATGTTTTCATGTTTGTTTTTTAGACGACACTCAATAAATAAAAACTAGTTGTATATTTGTTTCAACAACCATCAGGTATGCATTCAGTGTAATATTTTGTCTTGTGTGAATTTGGCGCAAGGCCAATAAATGTCATAGATCTATAATAGGCCTACTGCAACAATATTGTTTTGAAGAAAGAAATTATCGTACTCGCGCGAATAAGCTCCCCGTTTGAATAACCGCCCTCCGAACGTGAAAATTTCCTAAAGCGCCCCCTTATAATTTGAATAAGCGCCCCCTCATAAGATTTTAGCAAGTCAATAATCCAATCAATCCTGGGACTGTGGTTGTTGGCATGATTTGAGCTGTAGAGTGGAAACACATTCTTCTTGGTCAATACCAAAATGAGGATATTTCTCTTGGACAGATGAGGGCTCCGATCCCTGGACAGACAGTACATTTCCAACTTTACTCTTTTTACATATTTGTCTATGCCTAGTCCTACTCCTCTTTTTCCTTTCCCGACCTTTAGCACATTCTCATCTAGTTTTCAAGAAATACAATGATCCTGCCATCCTGCTAATCTCAATCGGCCGATGGCCAACAAGCTAACCACTAGCATCTGCTATTTTGCTGTTATGTAAATATTCATGCATTCTTGTCATGAGCCATTTTCTCTGGACGATTATCTTTTTTTCTAACCACCATTCGTAATGTCCTTATATAATCTTTTTCATCCAAAAAGTGCCTCTTGAATTTAATAATTTCCCATAAAAACCCCTCGATTTTCATCTATTTCCATAAGCGCCCCCACAATTTCCACTCTGTTTTCATAAGCGCCCCTTTTAAATAAGCGCCCCATTTGAATAAGCACCCCTCAGAAAGTGCAAAAAATATTTTAAGCGCCCGGGCGCTTATTCGCGCGAGTACGGTATTTAGGAAAAATCAAGACTATTTTACACATTACTGTACCCTTTTCAAAGAAAGAAAGAAAGAAAAAAATAGTCTACAATACAAGTACTATAAAAGAAGACAGCAGTATAATATGCATAACAGCTAATTTGAAAAAAAAAAAATATCCCATTAATCTGGATCTATTCCCAAAAAGACCAAAGAATACAGTAGAGTTACATGCTACTGTACAAAAATATCATTATTTCATTTATTTATTAGTTCAGAAGTAATTGTATAGAAAAAAATATGTACAAATCAGTTACTTATATGATTAAAGTTAGGTTTGTGTTTACCTCTATACATCATCTAACCTTACTTATAAACTTAAAATTATACATCGCAACTATTTCACGAAATTGGAGCTACAGAGTTCTATAATTAGTAAAATCATTGAGATAACAAATCACATTTCAATAAGTAGAGTAGCTATTAAGGAATTTACCAACAACTCTACCATCAGTATAGAAAAGCTATTAAGGTTCCCTTCCTAATAAACCTCAGTTTGGGGTCCAGGTTCCATTCTTACAACTCTACCATCAGAAGTTTTAAGGGTAATGCCATTCATACCATCACCATGGGAGCTACGTGGTACCACCTTGGCATGCTACGATACATACTATTCCACTAATATCACATCTACCCCCGATGTAGCATACGGCATCAAAATAAAAAAGACGCTAAAATCGCTACACGCTAGTGGACAGCTGATGTTGTAGTCCACTTACGGCCCATCGACCACTGATGTAGCAAATGGCATCAAATTAAGACCAAATTCTCCAAAAATCACTAAAAGTTATAGTGGACAGTTCTTGTGGTATTCCACTCGCGGCACCATCCACCACTGATGTAGCAAGTGGCATCAAATTAAGACCGGATTCTCTAAAATCGCTAAAAGCTATTGGACAGCTCTTGTGGTATTCCTCATGGCACATTCACCAATGATGTAGCAAATGACATCAAATTAAGACCGGATTCTCTAACACTACATGCTATAGTGGACAGCTGTTGGTAACATCAATATGCCGGTCAAATCAGGGAGCCTGTCCGACTGCATCTGCAAGAAGCCTTCCAAGCTACATCAGGTAAAGCTAGGCCATAATTGTAGTGAAAACAATGTAACAATTTTATAAAACCAGCTTTTTTTAAATCCTTCACACCCCTACATATTCACTGGATACCAGACATCTAGAATGTATATCAGCGATGACCCAGCCATCATTCTACTCAATTCAATTACTTTAACACACAAATAAAATCAATATTTTAATATATTAAATCCTGGGAACAATATCAATTTGGTTTAAAAAAATGAAAGCAATGAGACACATGTTTGGAACTTACATTATTATACTTGGATAGTAAATAACAAAAGTGGAATAACTATTATATTAAGGCAGAATATATTCAGTGTTTGCATGTCTGTCACATTCAGTGACATAAATTAAAATGTACAAGGCAAACATTTAGAGGTGCTCAACAAAAGAGAAAAAGGGTGTAGATGAAAATAAAGGTTGAAACAAACAAAAAGTAATAACTGTTTGTTGTAAATAAAATATTATTGATAAGTAATCTATCTAAAGTTTTGTATTCAGCTATTTAACCTCTCAATATATCCATGATTTCCTTCACCACAATTTTCAATCTAGCTAATCTGAAATTGCAAGCCTTTTGTATGCTTGTAAATTTAGTCAATCTCAATCCATACGATGAAATTTTACGGAATATGTACCTGACTACTCTCTCTAGTCCTGCTTTCATATACAACCTTTAATTCTTAGTTACTCAGGCAACTGGTAAAGACTGTTTATACTGTGGACAGGATAGAAGACTATTAAATTTCTCATCAGCTTTCAAAGAAATCATAAGCAATTAACAGTGTACAAAAATCATTATCTTTTTTTCCTTGGCTATTTTAAGTTTACCTTCACAAAAATTGAAGGTTGAATGATAAAACTGTAGCAAATAACTAATAATTGTTTTTAGAAAAACAACACTTGTGTGGAAAAGTTAGGTTTCTAATTTTGGGCAGAGCAGGAACAAGAAATACATAATCAATCAATTTTTACAGCAGCATATATTTTACGAATGAACCAATATGCGGCGTAGAAACCTATAGTGCCTGTGACAATCCAAAATGTGAAGACCATAATAAAGGTGTAGCCAAAGTACAGCAATGCAGGAACAAACTGGGTGATCTCCAGCTGTGAAGACATTAAGTAATTTGAATTAGAAATGACGAATTGTATAGCAGGGAAGTTACAACAAGCACATGTGAGCTGTTGTGACAAAATAATTCTTGTACATAAAATGAAAAATTAGTTATTGATATATTTAAATAGGATGACTATACAGTATAAGCTTTAGTTTTAAGTGTCTGAAAACGTACTTAAGAAAAAATTGTATCTAAAAATAAACACATGTGAGCTGTAACTTTGTGACAAAATAATTCTTGTACATAAAATGAAAAATGAGTTATTGATATATTTAAATAGGATGACTATACAGTATAAGCTTTAGTTTTAAGTTTCTGAAAACATACTTAAGAAAAAATCATATCTAAAAATAAACAATTGATAAATTTTGTGTTGGTTTTCATATCAATTCTGAATAGGAGCTTTATAAAATGTGCTTCGAAACACCTTTAACTTATGTTAATTCAAATCAGAACTAAGCAGCCACATTGAAACCCAATTTTTGGCAAAATATCACTTTAGATATAAATTGATATATTCAAGAATAGGTGTACAAGAAGACCTATTTTGTCACGACACATCACATACGCTACGCACATTTAATGAGACAGCAAGAAAATGTAGCAGGTAAAGTTAGTAGTGTACTAGCGCCCTTCACGTTCAGCATCAATGGTTTATTCCGCATACAACAACCACAATATACTGTACTCCCTTCTGTTAAGGCCGTGTTTTCACAGCATTTATAATTTCTCTGATAAATTATCTTCAAATTCCCTCCAAATATTATATCCCATCATGCAACATTATGGACAACAATTCAACATTATGGAAAACAATTTAATGTGTTCAACATTAAAACATCCGGTGGTTTGTTGACCAGCAGGTGACCCTTTTTTGGCAGAAGATGGATAGGCCTAGGCCTAGAACAAAATCGCTTGGTACTATTTCACTTTGGGAAATGTACTATCATAATGATGTTTTATTGTACTTTTATATAGGGATTGAGAAAAAGATGAAAAAGAATACTAGCTTTCTTTAGTGTGTTTTACAACAATGAACAATAGGTAAAAATAGACCTATGCCCTGCCAGACACAGTCGATTTTGAGTGCAGCCGTTTCAGGCCTTTTTTTTAACTCAGTGGCTAGGGATACAGTACAGTATTTCTACTTCCACTTGCTAAAGGTATGGTAAATGGCATTACGTTACCATACCCAATGAAGTGCCAAAATGTGTGTGACGTCATCTTTCAAGACCAGCATTGGCATTGCAGTGTGAGCAGTGTGACTCTATAGCGAACAATGTAATGTATAGCATACGATTAGCTAGGCAAAGAGTACAGTATTTTTCAGTAAAATACAGTACTGTCATCGATAAATAGGCATTTAAGGGTTTCACTCATTAATAAGAGTCATGTCATTTATCTACAGTATCTATAACCATATCAAGCAAGGCCTAAATCCTCAGGACAAAACTTGCTTAGGCTTTGGCCTAATCTATTTACATGAAAAATCTTGCACTAAAAAACTGAATATATTGGGAGTAGATTTTGGGGGTTGACAACTTCAGACTTGGCATGGAGGAATTATGTTTGACTGATGCCACCACAGATAGATCTAACACTACAGCAGGGCCGCCACCAAGTGAAAAATTTAAGCAAGTCATAGATTCTTCGCCAAGCGAAGAATCTAAGCAAGGTCTAGAGGCCTAGCCTATGCGGCTATGACATAAGTTTGGTACAGGCAGTCCTTGTTTGATAAGATACCAGTATGGCTATACTGTATACAGTAGATAAATAACATGACTCTTATGGAGTGGAACCATACGTCTATTACGATGACATATACAGTATTGTACGTTTTGTCTATATCATGTTCTAATAATATACTTAGTACATCGTTCACTTTTCACCACTCATAGCGGGTGATCTGCAATGCCAGGTTTGAAGGATGACGTCACGCACATTTTGGCACTTTATTGGGTGAAGGCGACGTAATGCCATTTACCTACCTTTAACAAATAAAAGTAGAAATACGGTACCGTATTTCTGGTCACGGCATTTTTTTTTTAAATTTAATAAACATGAAAAATTTAATCACTTTTTATTATGAAGTGTTTGATACTAGGCAACTAAGGACCCAAAGAATTCTTTACATGACCGTGATTTGAAATTGGTCTAAGGTTATTTATTTTTGCATTCGGATATTTTTTCCGATAAATTATCTGATCCTTATGCACACTTTGGACCTTGTTTCCGCAGCAAAAAATAACAAAACGGCTGCTTTCCGATAATCTATCAGATAATAAGTCCTGCGGAAACATGGCCTAAATGGCTAACCACAGTTAAAATGTATGGCACATGAGTATAAAATTGTACTAAAAGCATGTATATGTTTAAGGAACAATTATGGCGTACTTGATAAATTAAGTCATTTTTAAGCCAAATTCTGTTAATTTAAATAAGATTTTAAAAATATTACCTTTGTAACAAAATAGAAAATTGCGTATAGAAAAACATAAAACGCTGAGCCTCCAGACACAATAAAGGAACGCCACCACCAATGGTAGTCCTGCAAATCGAAAGATATTAACATCAACATATAAACCTGAGGTGGACAAACTGCTAGTCCAGGCAATCTACGGTTTCAGACCACCGAAAGTGGACAAAATTGCAACAAAAGGTTTTTTAACATGTATTTGAAGTTTATTTTGTGAAGGAAAACATACAAAAAATCGGACAAAACCAAGACATAGAAAGTGGATAATGTAACAAAATATTACAGAACTATTTCACACAATCGATGCGCAATACGTCCTACGCCGGCGTTTACCGGTGTTATGGTACTATTTCGAATTGGAATCTGTGAATGGACATGTTTATTTATTTCTTCCATGATTGGACCAAAGATCCAGGGAGATGATAACTGATACATATGTATATGTTAACAAGACATAATATGTACTCATTTCAACTTTACAATAATTTTTTTGCTTTTTTCTCAATATAAGACATATTTAAAATTATACTTTCATATCCCATATTTCAAATAATATCAGGTACTGTATTGTAAATTTAAATAAATATTTTACATGGGTTACTTAAATTTACAGTAGTTCTATTTGTTTATGTAATAATGAAATAGAAATAGAATGTAATATAAAAAAAACATTTTCACTACAAACTGTAATCTTTTTTGGTACCCCTCCCTCCCATCTGAAAGTGTACAAAGCATATGTTGATATTGCAAAACCATTCTCCATATTTTGTGAAGTCAACTAAAACACTACTTGGCTGCTTAAAAATGTATATTATCCATGGTTGCATTATGGACCGTCATAAAAAATCTATTATTGTATCATGTTATTTTGAATCAACATTTTCATGCATATATAAAAGTATACAAATTTGTCTACCCCTAGCATACAGTACTGTTTGTGCACTTGTGGAGATGTTGATAATGTTGAACTATCCCTTGCATTTTTTTAATAATCCCCTGGTGATTGATGCATGCATTTTTAGCATTTATTTTGTAATTACATATTCATACTATATTTAAGAAATAAATGTCATGTAGAAAATGTAAAGATAATTTTTTTTTTATATCTAACTAATTATAACTAATGTGGTAATTTTCCATTTTTTTTCTTCTAGGACATATCTTGGAGATGTGATGCGTGGGAATGCATAGAGCATACAAGTTGCACAGACATTTGCTTCTTTATACAAAAAAGCAGGACATTGATAATCCACAGGAATCCATAACATTCAGCTTACAGAAAGTGCATTTTAGTGATACTGCAGTATTTTGTACTGCATAACCAAGACTACTATAAATAATATTGAACATTTTGAAAATTTCATTATTTTACGATGATGGTACCATGGTTATTGTTTGTTTCAGAGAAATCAAATTTATTTTCTGAGATGGATAGCTAATAAATAATGCTGATGGATTTTGCCAGTAATAGTTTTCAAAACTACTGTATATTAAAGAAAAAAAATTATCTTGTGTATGTAATCATTCTATTTATTTAAGATTTCTTTATTCAGAATGGAAAGATTTCAGTGACTAGCACTGCTTCCCAAGGAATGAATGTAGAAAAATGATAACTTGAACAACAGTTACATGTTTTATGAATTAGAATACAGTATGTATTGCGTTGTGGTCTATACAGTAGAACCTCGATTTTACGTACGGTACGGGACCAGAGGGCGTACGTAAATCGGGGGATTCGTAAAATAGAGGTTGGGTTAAATTTGTGGTAACCTTTGACCTAATAATACGTACATAATGCTTAATAAACGTTTGTACGAACGAACGATGATACCTAGGCTAGACCTAGGCTCTAGAATAGACCCAGCCTCTAGGCCTACGAATAAAACCATGTGTTTAGTGTTTTTATTCATCACTTTACGATGTCATAATAAAGTGTTCAAATAAAACCATGTGTCTAGTGTATTAATTCATCACTTTATATCTTTTATTTAACTAAAATAAAGAACATGAAAATATTGTAAGATTACCCGATACGACAAAGGTATAACTTGGGAATTCCCCTTCATGCCTATTCTAAACAACAGAGATGTGGTGTTGTCTGGGCCTGTTGAGACAAACTAAACCCATGTGCGCTGCACTGGGCGAGCCAACCAATTAGCCTTTCCGCTCCATGTGCTATGCACTGGGCGAGCCAACCAATTAGCGTTCGTGTACGAAACTATGTCTACTCAGCTTCGTGTAGAAAATTTGACCAGACGAGTTCTTCCATGGTTTGCCACACGAAGCTAAGGAGGAAGCAATAATTTTGAGCACCATCGGTAGTTGTTCATCTCACTCAGTTCACGTGGTTTTAGATTATAACAACCCGGTATTAGACTCAATCAACGTTGCTGTTTAATGAAAATACGTTGCAGTATGGTTTGTTTATTGTTATTGTTTATTGTTATATTCTATTTACTTATGGTTGCTCTCAAAAGGGCCGTTTGTTTTGAATATTTTCGGGGTTTTTGATGACGTCATCGTCCATACGAGGCGTACGTAAAACAGAGGGTTCGTATAACTGGGGTACGTAAAAACGAGGTTCTACTGTACTAATTCATAAACGGTCGTTGAGCTCAGCTTTTGCTAGACTAGCTAGTGAGTGAGAGGTATGCCTTGGTCAGCTATATGCACATGGGTAGTAAGCCTAGGCCCAGGCCTAGCTGTTAGGTCTCTCTAGGCCTGTCACAAATGTAGAGAATTCTTTCTCATCAGAAACATATTTTTATGCTTCTTAAAATATTCAGGAAAAAAATCCAATACATATAACAATAACATTAAACTAAAATTATATGAAATGTAGGCCTAGGAACACTCCCCATGTGCTGCGCCCAGCCGCGGATACACGTACCAGGAAGTCAACGCAAAAACGTAAACAAGATGAAGTAATTTGACCTTGATCATGGATGACCAGACTTTCTACCAATCAGAGACATGAATTTCATATGCTAATTAGCCAAACCGTTTAACATACTGTGTAAGGAAAGACAAAATATAGTTCGCTGTTTTCTGTCTTAAAAAACTCATTTCCCGATGTCAGATTTTGGCTGATTTTTATTGTTGTTTTATAGATATTTACCTACCATATCTGCTAAGAAAACCTTTTGTTGCAATTTTGTCCATTTAAAATCATAGATTGCCCTGACTATGCGGCCTCTTGCAATTTTGTTGCAGTCCGCAAATATAAAATAAAAACCTTATATGTGCTGCCCGCCTCACCATCTTTGGCTAGAAAAACCCTTTCTTGCAACGGCGTGATGCCGGTTAACTATAAAAAGCAATATTAAACTGAGTATCAAGCGGTGTATAAAATCAGTGCATGAAGGAAGGTTTCTACAAAAACTCTGGAAATGTTAAATTTCCACCCCTAATATAAACACTTTAAAATGCAACTGGAATTAATGTTTCTCTGCAGTTGGTATACTGTGTACGGTTGCTTACCTCACCACATAGTTGGAAATATACCATGACTATAGCAATCTGAGCACAAGATACCATCAAGATAATGAACACCAGAAACAGAAAACCAAACAGGTAGTAAAACTGATTCTCCCAAATTGCCTACAAGAAAAAGAAAGTAATTCAGAATTTGTTATCATATTATGGACATTCCTATGCTGGAAAGGAATGACAAATAATTATATTATGTTAATATTGTTTGAAGGTTTGCATTAAGAAGTAATAATACATATTAATGCTTGCGGTACACCACATAGATAGTTCTGAAAAGAACTGTTGTTGGTTGAGAATGTTGCAATGTTTCGATCGAGTTGCTTCAATCGTCTTCAGGAGATTAATATCTGTTGTAGTCATGCTACGCTACATACTGGAGTCAGTTATCAGTTTACATAATGCCTCAATATAATTAAAAGGGTGTTTATTTTATTTTATTTGTACAATACCTAGAGAGAGTAAATAACAGAGTCAGCAGATACATACTGGCCAGTATGATTGCAAAAATCACAACGCATTTTACCCACTGTCGTTGCATTGCGTTGCGTTGAAAACGAACATCATCTGGACTGATACTGTTAACATGTCAATGACCTTGTTGACTGGAGGACCTCTGGCATGTTTTTTTTTTTTTAGAATGCTGATGTCGTATAGCAGATCACTAGACGATGGGTATTTTCATCTTTCTCCATATTCTGTGTAGGCCTACGCTGTAATACATAGTCCTAGCCTATGCCTTCTTCACAAGGCTGTTATTCGTCAATATTATAATGTTAATCCCCATAAATAAAGGTGTAGTTGGCTATGGGCGTTTTTTCAAACTGAAGATTAGGTTGTATTGTAAACACAACAGGAAAATGACATTGCCTAGGAATGAGGCAATAATGTAGGATTGATCTGAAGACAAGGTCTACTGTAGGTATAGGCCTATGCTATGCGGCACTAAGCCTAAAATTAGGCCTAATGTATTTAGTAGATTTATTCGAGGAGATATATTGGTGAGTCATTTTGGTTTTTTTTCTTGTTTCTTTTTGTTTTTTCTTTTATTATTGAACTATTTCTTGGAGTATCCATACTGCTTACATCGTACACGACAACCTCAGGTCTGGGCCTAGGCTCTCCTACAACTTGACGGCTCCATTCCAACTATTGACCATAAAAATTCTTTTATTAATCACCTTATTTCTTTACTACAATGCAAGTTCGTAATAAACAGACATCTATTTTATAAGTGCCTATTTATTTAGAAACTGTTAATACAACACTTCGTGTTGAATTCTGAATAAACAATTTATGAGCTTTCAACAAACAGTTCAGTGAACAGTTTCAACGACAACGGCCAACATGTTGTCAACGTCAACGCGTTGTCAACGTTTAAAATTTGCAATAATACTGGCCAGTACTGTAACCAAATACCTTTAAAAACAAACAATTAGAAACAGAATCAAATTAGCATTAAAATTAACCTGTGCTAAGCACAATGCCAATGATATAAAAAAATAATGTAATAATTATATACTGTACAATAAGAAATATCCCAACTTTACCTGTATTATTCACTACCTTATTTGATTAGAAATAAGAATTGTCACTTCAAAAATAAAGTACATATCTTACCGATAGGATGAAAAATAGTTCAATAAAGACAGCACCAAATGGGAGTATACCAGCCATCAATGTACTGCAAAAAAACATTGAACAATAATAAAAAGATTTATTATGCGCCAGTATCTGTCAGAGACACATCATAATTACAAAAACTGATAAGATTTTGGGCATGGAGGTCCATACGATTGGTTTCAAAATTGAACTAAAGGGCAGTGTTCTCCCAAAACCATTTTAGCCGTCAGTTTTACCAGTAAAAATAACTGACCAACCAGTAAAAATTGTGTGTTGGAAGAATAAAATAAAGCACTTATTAGGCAGTGGGTAAAAATACATAATTTGCACTTGATGCAGCACACAATAATGGTGATGATTGGTAAACGCCTACCTTAGCATGGGGTTCAGATACCAGACTTGTTCAGGTACTTGCCGAGGGATCTGGTTAGTCCTCACAGGGTGCTCATAAGGCTAATAAAGAAAATACAAATGTTAAAAAGTAACAGGAGTCATTAATGCTGGGAATGCTCTTAATTAGTCGACGATCATTGGTAGGATTTCATGCTGACCGTAATACAATGTACATGTGACTGATCATTTTCAACAAAGATCTGCTTATATACAGCCGAAAATCAGCAGGCGGTGTCATCAAGTAATGACACGGAACGTAGGTAAATTTGACCAAAGGCGGGCTGACACGGAGGTACAGTAGAACCCCTCCATTTACGTACGGGACGGGCCCAGAGGCGTTCGTAAAAATCATTTGTACGTAAAATCAGGGTTGTGTGAAATTCCTATGTATTTACACTACCGATATGCTGGGCTAGGCTAGGCCTGGACTTAATTTTTGTTAGATTGGAGCCAAAACTCCAACTTGCGCTCGAAAGAAATTCAAAATAACGATCATAAATGTACAGTACTATACATACTTGTTAATGTGTATACAAACTTTATTAATAGGCCTATATGACTTATCTTCTAGCCTACGAAGAAACACACCCCCGCAACAGGGCAAGTAACGCAACAACGTTTTTCACTCGATCTACAGGTATGTGCTTGTGGCATCAAATAAATACCTGTACAGAATAACCCGGAAACCAGGGGTTCACTTATTAAAAGAAGAGCGCTGATTGGCTGTAGACACGGCGCTTGGACTTTATTTCCTTTTTTGTATGCAATACGATTGTTCTACGCCTACATTAACATTTATGTAATGAATAATAAAGTTAAAAAGAAAATGTAGGTGTCAGTGTCTTATTTTATGGGGAAAATAATGAAATGGCAGATTAACGTAGTGAAATTTGACAAATAAAATTCTTTTTAATTAAAATTATAAATCGAACTTAAACGTGACTGTAGGCCTATACGTTACACAGTAATCTCTCGTGTGAAATTTATTCGAATATCATTGGTTAAAATAAATTTGGTAGGTGGGTTAATTACGAAGATTATTTTCTCTTTTCTCTTACGTAAGAGTTAGGGCTAAGACAGACATGATTTATTCAGTGGACAATGTTCGTAAACAAACTTGAACAAGTTTGTTTACAAACATTTTCCACTGAACAAATCATGTGCCTATCGATATGCCGACAACTTACGCATTGGGCGGAGTTTTCTCAAGGCTGCAGACATGAGGTTTGATTGCCGTGTTGAATGTCGGTGTATTCAAAGCGCACTATGTGCGTTTTGTATTGTAGTAGAGATCGCTGATAGTGTACAGCAAACCGTCTAAGACCAGCACGCGCCTAACGATTAATTCTTGACACGCCGTGTGTGTTTTGTACATGAAATAGGAACTTTATTTATGACAACAATGACATGATTTTACATTTGTAAAATCGGGAATTCGTAAAATTGGGGTTCGTAAATGAGGGGTTCTACTGTACTTACATTGTGAACATTCATTCCGGCATTCAATTAAATTAATAATATTATTATATACATTTACTATAGTGCTCAAATACATCTCAGAGCACAGGAGGGTGGAAAAAAACATATAAAATTATATTTTCTTTGAAAGCAAACTGTTGTTTTACATAAAGTATTTAGGTAGAGGAAGAAATAAACACAAAATTTATTTACAAATAGAGAAACATATGATGGCTTGAGGGGGGTAAAATATATCCTCAATAACAGGGTGGAAAACTGTTTAGAAAATGGTAATTCCGTGTCAAATCAACCAGGGGTCCCAGGTCGACCGTCTCCGATTTTTATGAAACTTCTTAAAAATGATCCACTATGTGAAAAATCAACATACACAAAAGATTAACCCTACTAGATATGTAGTTTCCTAAACATTGACGCCCCAAAAAAGGGGCATGGAACTTCAAGATGCGCAAACACAATTTCCTCCAACTTTGGAAGCTTTTAACTCTGGATTGGTAATAGCTATCAAGGTCAAACTTGGTATTCTAACTTATATTCCACCATATTACACAAATATCATATTAACTGTTATCCCTTCTTTTTTTAAGTTATCTGCACTCAAAATAGTTACTTTGTTTAACGATGCAATTTTGTTGTGATTTTCAATGTCACCCTGTGTCCACATGAGTGAGTGTATACATCTTAAATTACAGATATATTATCTATAGGTAGTTGTCTCTAGCCACAAGCATGCACAGGCTGATCAAATGAATTAAAATGGAATGGCATCCATTCAAAGTTGGGACCAGCCCTAAAAAAGTGAAAAAAGCCTATGTTTCCCATTAATGGTTCGTCATGTGGACAGTTAAAATCCTTTCTTAAATTTACACCAGTTAACCAGATATATTAGATCTACTTATACACCAAATTTCAGCTTTGGTACTCAGCTCCTTCATGGTTAGATACTATGTTGAAAACTACACATATTTTAACATGATCGGAAATAACTAAATATTTTAAGAGTTGGGTAATTCTATGCCATGGGATCATAGATTTTAAAATTTTTTTATACTGACAGTTATTCATGTGAATTGAAAAACCTGAAATTTTTAGACTCCAATTCCTGGTTGTTTTCCCGTAGCGGCAGTTTGATGTAAAAGGGGGCGTGGCACAAATTAGTGCACCGTGAAATTAACTTTGATTTTCGTACGCTAATAATCAGAAAAGTTGTAGCATGTACCATTGCGGAATAGCAATGCTCTAAAAATGGGACAAAAACCTGTCTGGACCAACTTTTTGCATTTTTGGAGTGCTGTATCTGGTGAAAATAAACTTAGTTAAGTTTATAACTATATATATGAGTACTACTGGGTGTGGGTTATGATTCCTAAAAGTTTCCAGATTAAAAAATTTTTCTTTTTGAGTTACGGCTACCTGAACAATGGTCCACAAAAAAATTGTTAAACAAAGTAGCTATTTTGAGTGCAGATAACTTCAAAAAAGAAGGGATAACAGTTAATCCATATTTGTGTAATATGGTGGAATATAAGTTAGAATACCAAGTTTGACCTTGATAGCTATTACCAATCCAGAGTTATAAGCTTCCAAAGTTGGAGGAAACTGTGTTTGCGCATCTTGAAGGGCCACACCCCTTTTTTGAGGAGTCAATATCTCAAAAACTACAAAACCTATAACACTAATTTATTTTAAGTGTTGGTTTTTCACATAGTGGATCATTTTTATGGAGTTTCATCAAAATCTGAGAGGGTCATACTGGAACTTTTTTGAAATCTGGTTGATTTGACACAGAATGACCCAAAAAGAATTCCTTAAGCCTGTTTTCCACTGGACGAATTGATTTGTGTAAATCAAGAGCATCGGTTCACTTTTTCACTTCGCAAAAAGTAGGAACAGTTCAAAGTACTGATTTCCCTGAAGCGAAAAACCCCAATAGAAATGTGAATGTGCATGAACCCACGCTTTTGATTTGTGCAAATAAACTCGCCTAGTGGAAATATTTACTTACCTGTTTTCTAAATCCAAAGTAATATCCAAGGTAGACAAGAGGGAGTGAAATGCCAAACCACATGCAAAGCAGTGCAATCATTGTAGTGAAGGGTACAGCTCCTGATGAATGTTTACCCCAGATAAAGAAGTTCAGAATAAATGCTACTCCAAATGATACTCCTGGAAATACTGTACCAGTCTGGAAAAAAAACCATAAAAGTGAGCCAGTTGGATAATTTTAATATATGTGAATAAGGCCTCTATGCACATTAAATTACCCCAATCATTGGACAAAACACCTAGATCCAGCACCAGTAAAAGAGAGGGGATGAGGCAGTGGGCCACAGGGCCAAATCAATCAGGCCAAGCTCCTCTCCCTTCAGGAAAAAAAAAAAAAAAATCACAAAGGGAAAAAAAAAAATTCTTTTAAAAGAAAGCTTTGGGCATAAGTGTTAAAACGTCTCAGAAGAGCTTATTATAATGGCCAATATTGCTAAGTTTTTACGCGACAGGGGATTAGCCCTCATGAGACCCCCTCCAAAGCATCACTCCTACACTTCACTGAACACCACCAGAAATTCTCTGACCCCCTCCTGTCTGATTGGAGATGAGCTGTACATTCAATAACGGTAGTATATTCTGTTCTTTTTTATATCTCTGCATTCTCTTACCAAGAACGCTGCTCTTTTCCATGTTGTTCCTTTGATTGTTTTGTAAAGTCTTCCAGCGAAGTAACCTGCAAAAATTCTATTTTAAATAATTTAAAGATTAGAAACAATGTATTATAAATATAAATGCTTGCCATATCACCTAACACAGTTAATGGTATTAGCCTCTACAGTATGGTAATCCTCTAGCTCTGGCTATATGCACTGCTCATGTATGTGCTTAGAGACTGCATTAATATATATAAACTCATATGGCATGCACCTTATACTGTATACAGTAATGTTATAATATCACACATGAACACAATTTTCACCTAAGCAATATGTAATATAGTTTGCCTAGGCCTACATCAGCTAACATCCCTGCCTCAACACATCATACAATCATTATTAAGGATATAGGTTATTTACATAAATAGTGATATGAAATCATTGACATTACAATGCCAAAACATACAAAATTAAAATCCCTTTCTTATCAGACTTTTAAAGTAAATAGAAAAATGAGCAAATTTGATGAAAATTATGTTTAGCATATCATGATTTGATCATTAGAAGCCATCAGTACTTACCCCATAAATACAAAGAGAAACAAGCTAGCAGTCAGCAATGATCCACGGCTACTTGGTGACAGCATACCAAACATAGCAGTTACTAAATTCAAATAAAGATGAGTACATTTAGAGGTATTTTCTATAATCTAGGGTTGTGTGATGTCACATACCCCTGTCCTATAGAATATGTATCTAATATTAAGTCTTTAGCATTTTTTACAAGGGATGATTAATCTCATGTGAATATTGAGCATGACAGTGTTGGAGTGTTTAAAAACATTTCTGACTACAGTTAAGTAGTTGAAAAAGCACCTAAAGACCTCTGTGATAGTGGATAGGCATTCAACAACCTCTCTGAATGTGTTTTAAACATTCAGAAACCTCTCTGAAAGATGTTTGGGTGTTTAAAAGTCTTCTCAATTGTGATTGTGTAATTTTAGTGCTACACATTTCTGTCTGTGTGTAAGGGGTATCACATCTCCCTGGCAGTTAAATTTATCATATTAATCATATCTGCAAAATCACATTCACTTACCTATTGTGATCAAAGACATGAAGAAGACCTGCATACCAGCCCCGACCATTGATGAAAGGAGCTTTTTGTGCTTTGGAGGACGAAATACGTCGCCATGAACCAATTTCCAACCAGTCTCTTCCATGGTGTCTTCCTGAATTAAGAAAAGTGTGAATTAAATTCCAATCCAGCAGAACATTAATCAAGATGTGGGTTAAAATGCTTTACACTTTATATCAATATCACAAAAGAGAATATTTTGTATATTAGAATGAATATATGTGAGGTCTCACCACGAAATGAGATGCATCGTTGGTGAAATTATATTGAGATATTCACCAAAATAGGTCAAAGGCAACATTTTTACAAAATTTTGATTTTAATGTTTTTAAGTAACTTGATACTTATATTTTATGATTGTATACTTTTTAAGTGAATTTTTTTACTAAAACAGTGTTCTCTTTGCATATTCTGTAATTCTAGTCCTATTATTTGTACAGGTTAGTTCATCTTTGAGGCCGATTTTCTCAAAACCTGGTTCTTATAACGTAAACTTTAAATGCTAACATCTCTGGATCTAAAGACCAAATTAAAGCTTATAATTTGATCTACCAAAATGTAATATAATCTCATTTTTTGATTTTCTAACGATGAGACTCATTTTGTAATGAAACCTCACATATAATAGGAGATAAAAAACTCCCATTACTAGTATAATAGCAACTTGCAATTAAGTGCTCACCATGTCTTCATCTCTGTTATAACGTGCAATGTCTCTTCTTAGCGTCCTGATGATTATCATTGTAAGAATTCCTTGGAACACAAATAAACACCCCCAAAAATTAATTTCTTACACCTTGCAGAAAGCACAGTCATTAAAGTGTATTTAGGTTGACATAGGTAATAAGCTTTTATATATAGAAATACAAAACATATAAGCAATAATATATACAAAATTCTATATTTCGACAAATGAAGTAAGTCAAGTTCATATTTTTTCATTTTTTTTAAAGGAAAGGTCTTTACAAATACAAATGGACTAAACAAGCATATAGATAGAATTAATAACATTTTGTTTGTTATAAACTAAAAATGACAATTGGTCCTCTAAAAATCAGGCTTCTATAGCTCAAATCAATGTACAGTAGCTACAATTACTTAGCATCTTGACTAGTTTTGCAAACCATGACTCCTTTGCTGGTGACCCAGATGTATGTGATAATAAGTGGAGATAGAACAAAATTTACACATCACTAGGTTTGCAACAAACATAAAACATGTGACTGATGCTATGTTATGCATACCTGCCAAAAAGAAAACAACAACCAGTGAGTTGATGATAGAAAACCAGTGAATTTGAACATCACTCATTGCCAGGTATGTATCCCAGCGAGATGCCCACCTCACATCACTTGGCTCCCAGTTCACTTCAAAGGTGTAATAGAAATCTTGAACATTTTCTGCAAAAACAAATGTAATGTTATTTCACTCGTCTATTATTTAATGGCACATACATATTCGTGAAAAAAGTAAACATTTGAATCTGTACAGTATTAGATGCACCTAGCTTAAGGAATATGGGTTTTCTTTATGCCTAATGCAATTATTTATTTAACAATTATTTAGAATAATACAATATTAAGATACACACAACCATGTTCAAGCATCTAAAAAAACATAGGCTATTATATTTTCTGGAATTCTAATATATTTTCTACAAGTTTGTTAAAGATTATATAATTCAGTTTCATTTTACTAACAACGGGACACCGGAATATCACTAACAAGAATAGGACACCTGAACAATAAGCATATCAACAATAGGCCACCTGGATGCATACCTTCATCTCCAACTTCTTGGAACACTGGTGGTTTACTCTTATCACTGAAACAAGTCTTATCTTCTACAATAGTTAAGCCGTCAGCTCCATATTTTCGACTTTGAGCAACTGCCTCAAACCCTACAACTCTGTACTCATCTCTGTAAATATGCAAATTATTAACCAATCAATTAATTAATGATGATCTTGATTTCAGTTCAAAAAGCATTTCAAATACCAACCAAGGCAAACCTAAAAGGGCCAGTTATGAATTATCTTTTTATAATCCCTAGATTGAGAAAAATAAATAAAACTAAATCCTTATCAATATTAATAACAGCAAGTTAAATTACATATTAAAACTAATTACTGTAGGCAAAATTTGTATATGGAAATAAAAATATAAAAATATGCATGCGATGTAAATTTCTCCTAAAAATCAAACACACTTACGAATATTCATCTACTTTATGGTATTTCATGTTGAGTCGCAAATGGTTGTTGATATAAGTCTGTGAGCAGAGATAATATGAAATTATTAATAATAATACTATAAAATATGTCAGCTTTTTAGCACATCATGCCAATAAAGCCTTTGCGCTTGAATTATGTAAATCAATGGATCAAAAATCTATAGGACACATAGGCCAACTCAGCTTTCTGGAGGGAGAATTCCACAATTTTGCAGCTACTAATCAGCTAGCCTACAAGGTACCATACTCTTGGGTGGTGACAATCATAGGTAATGAAACTTGCCCAAGCACAATCAAAACTCACAGAGGTTCCATCATCACATGTTAAGATTGAGAGCCCAAAAATTGTTAACAACTACCAGATGTATTATTTATTATTACCACAAAATATTACTTGAAAAAATTACTTTCATCAGATACAATTTAACCCTAAATACTAGAAATTGCAAATTGCAAGTGAAGTGCTGCGAAGTACAACTGCATAGAAATGTTCTTCGAACAAAATTATTTATGCGAGTCAAGTGAAAATAACGAATAATAAAAATATAACAAATAATATGAGACACGACCCATTGTCTATTATTAGAACAGCGTTGGTACCGTGTACAATAGTGTTTTGCTGCAGTGACATCTGGCTGCTGGCGACTCGCTGCTGCTGGTGATGACTCGCTGCTGGCAAATCGATCTGCGCATGTGTATAAAATGGTATTTATTTCCGAAAACACTGTGTATGCCAGTCTACAACAAGCGTCGCCTAACTAAATGTAATAATTAGCACGTTGAAATAGGCTAGTAAATAAGTTTAACTGGGTTCGTAAATAATATTGGCCTCAAAATATTGTGGCTGAGACATGGGCTGATTAAACGTAGAATAGGAAACCTAAAAATATAGTAAAAACGCTGAATAGTAATACTCCAGTGTCGCGACATGCAGACGTTGGTACGAGTAGGTTAGTCTACAAACGTCGCCTAAAGTAATTGATTTTACCCGGCAGAACGAAAGAAGGAAAGTCCGCTTTTCAGTTGTCTTAGGCCTTCGTTTTTTGACAAACAATGACCTTTCAGAGGTCAAATTGTTGTCAAGGATATGAATTGGCTGCTTCGCAGCAAATATAAGAGAATTCAATATTATGACCTAAAATACAACTTTTTGATTTGCTTACCACAGGAACTTTCTTTCCATCTTTGCCCTCTTTAAGTAAAGTAAATCCTAGTTTATAGCCATGAACATAACTGAACTTAATCCCTTCATCATCCTCAGGAACCCGTGTTGCTATTGGCAAGTTATCAGACAGCCTAAAATATATTTGGGCAGAATAAATACAATATAATGAGTCAGATATAGGGATTTGTTTTAAAAATAAAAAATGTTAATATGCATGGAAAATATAATTAAAACATTTTTTCTCTGTATTTTCTAATCTTTTTATTTCTTTTTTTTTACTATTTTTATTTTTTATAAAAACAAAATAAAGATTATTTTTGGATGAACATGTACGAAGATCAATATTCATCATTTATTATTGACATAAAAAGCTTCAAGAAGCTAGGAGCAAGATTAAATTTCAGCATATGAATAGAATTGTTCTCCCTCTTTTTCTTATCAGTAGGTTACAAATATATTAAAATTTAATTAATGAATGTAACATTTTGAGTTTGAAATGAGTTTGTAATGACCATGCAATAAGCCTCGCGTTACATACACTTTTTAAAATTCAATTGTCATTGTGATAAATTGTAGGGAGTACATATTAATTACAAAAACTGGAATGAAAATAAAACAAATCCATAATTATTACAATCTAAATACAGAATACGAACAATAACAAAATTGTTGTTCAGAATAGTTAGGATTAATATTATTAATATGACAGATTGTGATTAAAGTATATTTGCTTGTGTGAAATATGAAATAGTACAGTACTTACAAGTGGACATTATAATCTTCCTTAATACGTTGTGAAAGTAGCTTGGATGCCTTGGCGTCTAAGGGTGGCTTGCACAAGACTGAACACTCTTTGTTTTCTGCCATTTCCACCTGTCAACATCAATATTAATTTGGAAAACATTATTTTTATTTCAGCAATTTGTTCCTATTGAAAATCTTTGTATAAATACCTGTTTTCAAACAAGCCTCAAAACTAATTTAATTTGCATAGTTTTCCATCAGCAGTATGTTATTTATATTTTCTTTTAAATGCTTACCTTATAAGGTGTGTTAACAATTCTATCACCTCTCAAAACTTCTCCAAGATTCTCTGTTTTGTAGTGAACATCAAGGTTATTGTCGGGCTTACAGAATGGCAATGAAAAGTACTCATATGGAAGCTGGGTTTTGCTACTCGTTAATTTTACTCCCTAAAAATAACAGAAATAGAAAGCTTTTGATAAAATTCTTCTTAGTTTTCATATTAAAAACAACAAAACAAAACAAATGATATTCATTTTAATATAATGTGAAAAACTATAATTGTGTTAATAAAAGTTGGAGCCGTATTTGTCAGTAACACTAAATACAATTAAAATAAATACAGTAGCACTTTCTTTAACTAACAAAACGTATTGAGACACAAGCTTTCACTAGCTTGAGCAAGCTCATTATAAGTATTGCCTTATCAATTTCCTCCTATCTACTCTGCTATTATGTTATATTTTATATACAGTATTATTTTGAGTTTTGACATTGAAGCAAATAATAAAGATTCTTACTCTTATTTCAACACTATCTCCTTTTTTGAATTCTACTGGTGCAACTCCGGGGACATAAAAGGCATGGCAACAAAGAAAACTTGCCAGCAACACAATTACAAATAATGATCTGGACATCTGAAAAATAATGTTGATTCTGTATGTGAATAACTTATATACATGGACGATTGTTGCAAGTGCTGCCCGTCGTCGACTGTATTGGACGGCTGGAGTAACAACTAGCACATCATTGTGACAAAGGCTCGAGTTTCAAGCCAAAACCGTCAACATAAAAGCAAGTATTTTTTACTATTATTTTTGTCTAAATGAAAGAAATTTACATCAATGATTGATTCTGTTTATGTCATTCTCTTTACCAAATCTACTGTACCCCTTATCTCCCTGCTGTAAGCCATACAGTATCTCACTGAGAGAATTGTATGTGTGCAAAAAAAAAAAAAAAATACTGTACTGTACTGTAGCATCATTGAAAAGTATAGAATTTACCGTTGCCTTTGGTGTGTCATGGTGGTAACAAAAATGGGTAGCTAGATCTTATTTTATTTTATTCCTTCCAGCAAACAGTACAACACATAAGAAAACAAAAACAAGGACAAAGAAAGAAAGAGCTGAGATGTGGCAAAAGTTGTACAAAAACTACTATCACTCCCTAAGCATTAAACATCAATTATAAAAATAGCTCTATGAAAATATAAGATAATCATATAAAAATTTACATATACAAAATTATCAATATCAGACAAATTTGCAATTAATCAACATTATATTACATTTTAAAAAAGTAAATTATTAAAAAATTATTATTATCTCAATTAACAATTACACTTCAAAAGCCTAAAAAAATTTTTTATTTATACTATTGTCAAAACATAAATGATAATTAACATACCAGTAATAAATAAAACAAAAACTCCCAATCAACTATCTCTATCAGCTTCATAAAACAAGTCATCCATTCTATACACTCAAATCACTAAATTGTTTTATAGTAACACAAACATTCCCAGTAACCCTGGCACTCGAAATTCAGGAGACTACTGTAGATGGGCACTAGTGAAGTGCACACAAGCCGTTAAAATGTTGAAAATATAAGTTTTTTCATGGATGCACTGTCTGATCTTTTGAAGTGTCAGTAATACTAGGAAGCTTTCAGCTAGAGCTGGCTGACTAAATTAATAGTGGATGCTTGTATCAACAGATGGCATTTGTTTGCATTTTCTATTGTTATTATACTGCACTGTATAGGCCTACTGAGAGTGCAAAATAATGAGACTGACTGTACATATTTATCATAATGATATACTGACTGTCATGAACTAAAAAACTGGCAAATTCAATTCCATATTTTAATTGCCTAGTTTGAATATTTAAGTTAAGATTTTAACTTGCAAATTAAAAATTTGAATGAGAAAAAAAGGTTTTTTCGTAATTAATGGAAAGTTTAATGTAATCTTTGCATAGACCCTTAAATCGGTTGGTGGTAATCAATTTAACAATTTTTTGTAGTACAGTAAAAAATGTCTGTAAATCAGCAAAAACCTTTTTTTCTACACCATTTCCTTTTTTCAGATATTCAAAAACTGAAATATTGAAGTTTTCCCCACTTTTGGCAGACAGTGCACTGCATTTTTAATAAATTAGGCTACTTTTGGTATTGGCAAAATATTTCCTTTTATTTTATGGAACCACAAACTAGTGCCTACAGTTATGTGTTTTTACTATTGCCCAACTTCTATCTTTTCAATCACATTTTTTAATGAAAAATCTCACATCATACTGATCTAATGATAATGATCATAATGATCACACCGACGGACAACACCTTAATTTTTAGAGAACATAATAATATCCCCTCCTCCAGACTGTATTGTAATGCTTGCACAGGGAATATATCTTCCGTACAAAAATTCGGCATAGAAATCTGTCCACTCATTTCGAAAATAAGGGCCAATTTCTGCGCAGGTTTTGCCGAAAATTAGGATTTGACCTTCATGCAACTGTCAATTGTGTTACGGGCAATTCCATCAAAATGGACAAAACACCTAAATTTTCATATTCATTCTACAGTTTTGGTGTCTAATTACAGCTTGAAACATTTACTTTTAAGATGTAAACTCAGATTTTCAAATTTCAAATCAGAAGTATTGTTAAATATTAATTAAAATATGTCAATAAATAATTTTTTTATTTTGATAAAATTTCACATACAAACTTTACCAAAATAGACTAAGATAAAACTTAAAATTATATTAAAATCTAGTTTAATATGGTCAAATGGCTTACTAAGAACACATATTTTTATTCAGTTTTACTTTTGCCTCATGTTTTATTAATCAAAATGCGAAAATATTAAAACCAATAAATATGTCATTTAGTTACCGGAAAACAACATACAGTTAACTTTTTACAAAAAATATAAATGATTAAACAATACAACTTTATATACAAAGCTAGTTTTAGTAGGGCTATTTAGTAGCATTAATTTCATTTCCTAATTCATTTTTGTTAATAAGTTATTAGCATATTAAATATGTCATTTAATTACCGAGCCGGTAACTAAATGGCGGTAACACAATGACATGTCAAAATTTGTATTGAAACAGTTCAGCTTATTTGCAATAAAGTATGTTATTGAATGAATTTTCAAGTTTATGTACTCACAAGGATGTTATTTGAGTCTTATACAATAAAGTATTTTAACAATTTCCACTGAATAGCTTAATTATTATGCAAATGATCAGTATCTTATTTGGCATATTCTCAGACTAAGGGCCTGTTACTATTTAGGTCTGGTTTTGGTGTTGTTATTTGAAATAAATAGACTTTGCAATTTTGTGACAAAATTTTAATTAATCACTCATCATTTGTGATTGGATACTTTCCTGCCAAAGGTCTATAGCCTTGTTCGCACTGGCTAACCAGCATCTCGGCTACTTTTATTGCTGAACGAAGTGTGCCCAGATGCATGAAAATTGACCAGGCTACTTTTACCGATCTAAAAAATTCTGTATGGATAGTATGACTTAGCATAGTGTCTCTGAGCACATGCTAATACCACACACATTGCAAAGCTTTTGAATTTCCCTGTTAGTCTTGGTCAAATTGAATCCGATGCGAATATGGTTAAATACGTATTATGTTGAGGATGTGTTAAAACCGGGGTTAAAACATAGGTTTTCGAGGAACATAAATTTCTAATATTTATTTAGTAAGGACACTAAAAATTGTTATAATTTCATTAGGGATACCTCTTCAACATATCAAGACATTTTTGTTGCGATATTGCCGAAGAGAGGCGGCGTGCTGTTAAAAATACTTTTTGGCTCATTTGGATGGTTGTATTTTAGCCAAATAAGTTTGGTTAAGTTTTATAAAGTCTGTAATGATGTGAAAAAATGGTGGGCTACGATTCCTCAAAATATTAGATTTAAAAAGGTTTAAAGCCCCATTCCCGGCAAAATTTCACTAAAAACTGACTTTTCTTAGAAAATATGCATTTGCATTACTCCAATTATTATAAATCATGGAAAAATATTGGCATGAATTTTAGTTTTACGTAAAAGAATGTAAAAAAATGAGAAATACAGACTATTTCTCATAAAATATTACCATTTTCTCGACGAATTCATCGTTACTAGGCAAATTCAGAGGTTGTAGATCTATCGCATCCACTGGAATACTCTCGCTTTTATGTAATACTTTATACAGTCAATAAAGTGCGCCCTCTCAAAAGAGATTAGTTTTTGTACTTCGCATCTCGCACAATACGGTCGTTCGGTTAGGCTGAGATATGTTTGTTTAAGTGTCAAAATCTCAGTCAGAATAAGTTTTTTAACAAATTTGAAATAATTCCTATGAAATATTATATTTCACAAGTGTCAATACTAGCAACGGAAAATATCATGTCAGCCGTTTTTATGTGTGATAACAGAACCTAAATCGAGGTAAGGCTAGGCCTAGCCTAGGAGCGTTGGATAGGCTAATGTTTTCGGCACCTACGATATTTCTTCTCACTACCTATCACAAAATTAAACATGAAAAATTCATCCGCATTTATTTTTTGTATGGAACACAAAATCTCAAATTTCAGTCTTATTTTACTTTTTTTCAATTCTTAGGAATGTCTAAATTCAGTTAAACTAGCAATTCCGTATTATATTTATAAATCTTTATAACATTATACAAAAATTAGATTTTTCTTAAAAACTGAAATTTTGCCGGGAATGGGGCTTTAACTCTGTTATAGCCCCTTGAACAATGGTCAGGACAACTTTTCGTCCAATTTTCAGACATTTGCTTTTTCTAATCATTACATGCTACAACTTTTCTGATTATAGATTTGGAATCAGTATTGAAAGTATGGCCTACCACGGCCCTGTACAGTACACAAACATTCAGGGTTATGGGGGTTGTACTTCTGAAGATATTAGCATATAAAAATCAATTTTCATTTCTGTTGCGCATTATTTCGAGGCACGCCCGCCCCTAAATTTAAACTGCCGCTGCAGAAAAACGAACAAGAATTGGATTCTCAAATTTTTAAGTTTTCCATTTCTTATGAATATGAATATGTCAGAGTAGAAAAAGTGGAGAGAAAAAAAAAATGATGTCCCATGGTGTAATGCATTTGTTAAAATTGGCGTGAAATATTAACCCTATCATTTTTCAATCAATTTTAATAAATTAATTTTTATTAAACATTCATATTTAGTTTGATATCTATTGTTTTGATATTAATTAACCAATTACCTTAAAAATATGTCTTTAAATCATAATAAAACATCTAATCAAGTATATTGCAGTTGCCTAAATTTTTTGTAATTTAGTTACTGTCATTTAGTTGTTAATAAATATCACCATATATTTATGATAAATAATTTTTTTTCAAAATAAAAGGTATTACATTCATTGCTATACCCTAAGGATTGCTCTTGATACTGTATAAATAAAATTAGGCCTCTAAATTCACAGATTTTTAATTAAATGTACAATAGGTATAAAACCCGTCAGATTCACGTCATTTAGTTACCACTCATTAATATAATTTTTTTAATGACGGAAAGTGATTTTCAAAACAAAATTCATTCTGTATATAGAGGAAGCTATTTGTTATGAAA